TGCATCAGGCATCGGTGGACTGGTAGATACGAAGCACATCTTTGGGACAACACTTGCAAGCAAGAAGGTCAGACAAGGAAAGGAAAGCAAGGTGAGCTGAGTCAATAAAATCTGCTTATTTCTCTTAATGCTGAAGATTCAACTAAGCTAAACTAACTACAAAACGATGAATTATTGTTGGTCATGTTCTTGGTCTGGGAGAATGTCATAACCATTATGCTTTCCTGCAGTTTATCTTGGTACGCTTTCCTTGAACTCATATTCTCTGTTTCTATTCCCTCCTTTCTACTTCGAACTTGTACATGATTTAGCTCAAGTTTATCATCTCGCACCTCAAACTCTCAGGGGGGTATGACATGGAGGAGAAAGCTGCTCGAGCGTATGACTTGGCTGCATTAAAGTATTGGGGGCCATCAACACATATCAACTTCCCGGTATGATTCATGAGTTCAAATCTTCTTGAGACTTGCAATACTGTGACATTGAGTACTGGCAATGGATTGGTTTTCGTGTAGTTGGAGAGCTACCAAGAAGAGCTCGAAGAAATGAAGAACATGACCAGGCAAGAGTACGTTGCCCACTTGAGAAGGTGCGAATCTCCTTTCTTCCATTTCATACACCGATTCCGAGTGGTGTTCGTCAAGGGCTTCATTTCTTTGCATCGATCGGACTACAGGAACAGCACTGGGTTCTCACGAGGGGCTTCCATGTACCGAGGAGTCACAAGGTTACTTCAGCTCTTAGAGATCAAGCATCAACCCTTGCTATCTTTGTAACTAACATTTCTCTTCAGGCACCACCAACACGGAAGGTGGCAAGCTCGAATTGGTAGGGTTGCCGGGAACAAAGATCTGTACCTCGGAACCTTCAGTAAGTTTGCTGCCAAGTTTACAGTTTGAAGTAAAAGCCTATAGCTTTCACATAAATACTTGGTTTTGTTTATGCTGGCCGCCTGTCATGCTCTGCCTTATAAGAGTTGCCAAAGCTTCTGTGAGCTGTTGTACAAGTTAAAACTTCAAAAGAGTAGATCACGTAATTGCAGGCCTCTGTTGTACAAGAAAGTTATTAGCATATCAAGAAGCCTTGAGGAATGCTGTTAATAAGACTTTGTTTGATTGATTTAGTCTACAGAGCAAAAGTAAGAACCATATATAGTTTGGCCTTCGAAGATTTGTTTAGCTATGTACATGGATTAATAAGATCCCTGTTCTCACATAAGCATGCAGCCCTGGTTCTCAGCAGTGAGATGGAACTTTCAGGTACACAAGAAGAAGCTGCCGAAGCCTATGACATCGCTGCAATCAAATTTCGTGGGGTAAATGCAGTCACCAACTTTGACATAACCAGATACGACGTCGACAAGATAATGGCTAGCAGCACACTGTTATCGGGAGAGCTGGCGAGGAGAACCAAGGTTAATGACGCAGGAAAAGAACCAACCCCAGAACAAAGTGGCTGCAAAGATCTTGTGGAAGAAAACAGCAGCAGTGGTTCGGGTTGGAAGATGGACTTCCGTTCGGCTCAGCAAGCTCCGCCTTCATCAGAATCGCATGATCCCAAGTCCCTGGGAGGCGGTGGCGACTACAGGAGCCCCATGGAGTTCTCACCTGTTCTTCATGGTCTGGTTGTGGAAAGCTTGAGTCCAGCGCAAGGGCTGCGTGATTTGGAGAAGATAGGGAACTGCCACGCAGCAAACCCAGCATCAACGATGGCCACCGTGGGCTGCTCCCCGGAAGAGGGTCATCATGATGGGACTGGTTTCTCATTGATGTATGGCAAGGCATCACCAAAGTTCACTGGTTCTACCACCATAAGTTCTTGGGTTCCACCTGCTCAGCTCAGGCCAACGATATCCATGTCTCAGATGCCAGTTTTTGCTGCATGGGGTGATGCTTAATCTTACTGTTGCGATGGTAGAGAGCATTGGAAGCTGATGAAGGAGAACCTCGATAGAGAGAGAAACAGAGAGACGTGGCAGATGCAGAAAACGAAGAGACTGGTAGTGGGTGACGAGATGGTTAGAGCAGGCTTTTAACATGTCAGTAGGTTAGGTCTTTCTCTTTCTAACTCTGGGGCCATTTTGGAGGAGAACACTGCCAAACACAGTGGGGCTTCAGGGTTAGAGAGAATGATGTCATTGTATGAAATGATGTTTAGTTAGTCAACAAGAAAGAAAAGTTGGATTTCTTACGGCGGTGCAGTGCCAACTTTTTGACCACCATCGCTGACCCTCTCTCCTCACTGCTCCCTGTGCTAAAACCTTCATCTTTGTGTTCTGCTTTCGATACATTGATCGTCCCACATTGATGATTGTGAGAAGTCGGTGAACTATTATCGAGGAAAACCAACGTAATTCATACAGATATGTTCTCTTTTACCACTTTCCCGGGCGTATTTCTTTACCATCATAATTCATACACATATATACTTGATTGTTCATTTCAGCAAGACTTCCAGCAGCTTGCAATTTTGTTATTGAATGTCTAATAAGTTGCTTGCTGCCTGAAGTGACAGAAAGAAGATAAGACGGTCGAAAGTTCTCCTGCTCAGGTGAGTAATAACCTGCCAAGAAGAAACCAAACTCCTCTCATGTCATCCGGAAACATAATAATAGTGATAGCAACAGAAAAGGCCTCTCCTAGTCCTTGGAGCTCTCTTTATCTTCCTTCCAAGGACCAGATGGGTCATCTCGACCAGCTATGGGACGACACCTTTTGTCGCTGGGCATCCGCCCCCCGGAAAGGTCCGCAAGTGCAACTCCTCCTCCTCCTCCTCCTCGCTGCTGCTTCTGCCGCCGCCGCCACTGGCAGCGTTGTTCAGGTCACCCGCAGCATCACCATCCTGCGGACCGCGTCCTCCTCGCCTCGCTCGTTAGTTGCTCCTCCCCTTTCTCTTCTAGAGGATTCCCGAAGACCCAAGAAGGCGAGCGGAGCTGACAAGGAGTTTTTTTTCCGCTTGTTTGAACTGCTACTTCTGCACACCTAAGTTCGTTAATACCAAACGACCCCCAAACCCCTCGACTCTCCTTCCCTCCCGCGCTTCGTCTCTCCGTCATGCGCAGGAAACGTAGGCATCCCCGTCTTTACTCCTCACTGTTGCGTGCAAGTCGATCGGCGACCCTCTCCGCCTCTCTTTTTCTTCCGGCAGTACCTCCTCCTCCTCCTCCTCCTCCTCCTCTCCGCCTTCCGTCGCTCTTAGCCCTTGCCCTTCCGCACTGATATGAAGTCTCCATTTTCTCCAATGACATCATTATCATTTGTCCACATGCATCTTTGGAATTACATGACGGCATTCCTCCATGCATTTGACTGAGAACAGACTGCTATAGGATTTCATGTGGCGCATGGCAGATCTTGGATAAGAAAACAATGAAGGCCTACCTTTTTCATGTTTCTCTTTCGATCGAGTGATGCATAGCTTCACAATGAAATCATCGTTCAATTGAGGGGTGCATGAAAAAGCTGAATAACAACGTCAACGGGCTAAACAAAAGTACAAATAGCAATATGACTGACACTGCATTGAGGGTCGATTGATTCCAAGGTTGCCTCATCTAGCTGCACCTAAGAAGGAATGGTTGAAAGGAGAAGGAAAGAAACTTAAACCTATCTGATATAGACTGTTCAAAGTTTTAAAGTGGATTGGAGATAGACGCTTATCGACGAGAGTTATCTTTGTATATGGAGATGGAGTTCAAAGTTCGAAACTTAATATATTATGGACGAATATATTATCATCGAAAAGAAGATTACTACTATAAGACAAAAAGAGCAAAAGCCAAGTTCAATAAGGTGATTCACTAAAGAAGTTGGTAAAATAGAGTTTCCATATCTTTAATTTTAGATTCAATAGGAGTTGAATCGTCAAACTGTGAGTGAAAGCTATGACAAGGGAGGGACGGACGATCAAACCTAGTTCAAGTCTACTCCGATTCGACTCACCTAAATTTGAGTTATACTTTGATTCAAGCTAGATATGATTGACTCAAACCCAAGCTCAAAGCTCAAGTTTGACTGACCTAAAGACTTCGAGAATTCAATCTCATTTAGACTTAAATTATAAGAAGAGTTGAACTCTGATTGAGAGTCCTACTGTAATTAATAGTCTTATTAGGAGTCTTCCAAATCTAATTAGGAGTCTATGCTACATATCATTAGAAACCAACAACACCACAAAAATAACAAGTGACAACCCTCAATCAATACGAGTCATAGCCTAGATAAGGAAATAGCCAACCCTAGAATAGGAAAGAAAGCTAGAGATAGTAGTAAACTATTGTCTTAAGATGTCATTGCTTAGGAGCGAGAAGTCTTATCCTTTTTTTGGCTCATGAAGTCCTTTCATAAATCCAGTTTATATCTCTTTTTTAAGAAGATAGCTAGATCTTTTTTTTTTCTAGTGCCTTTATCGAGTCTCCATAAAACATTAAATCTATCGTAAGAAAGATCAAAATCATCATCGACAATAATCCCCTCTCCCTCCTTCGCCTTCTCTTTTTTACTCTCCATAAAACATTAAATCTATCGTAGGAAAGATCAAAATCATCATCGACAATAATCCCCTCTCCCTCCTTCGCCTTCTCTTTCTTACTCCTCTCCCAATTGATATCAACTCATGTCCCACACCTCGATAACCCTATTTTCTTCTCCTCCTCGGATATTTTCTCCTTCTCCTCATATAGTTTTCCCCCTCCCAGCTATGGCAACCTCTCCTCATACCCCAATAGTTTTCTCTCAACCCTCCTCCTCCTATATATATATATATATATATATATATTGTTACTATAGCCTATGAAATTTATTTTAAAAAATAAATTTTAAATCTTTTATCATATTTATCAATCAGAATATATATTTAAAAAAAATTATATTCGAAAGCACCCATTGTCTTTTGACACTTTGGCTGATAATTTTTTTTCCCAGTCACAACTTTGCTTCAGACATCAAACAGTCAACAAGTTGTTTGAAGTGCCTTTGAAAGCTGCATCACAAACTCATATCTAGGCCATAACATGCATTTCAAATTCTCAACATCACTTGGATAACTACATCCAGGTTTCAAATTTACTCACTAATGCTCACATATGCCAAGATAATCTACCAAGCATAATAATTAACAAACAAACAGTGTCTTGAGAACAAGATTCCAACACTGAATATAGTCCAATATAACAGCACATGCACATGTCTAGTGTGTTTCTGCTAATGTAGCAAAAGGTTTGGGCCTCATTTGATTTCAACTGTCCAATTTTTCCTGTCTTCTACCAGGCCCATCTGAATTGCTGTGAGGATGTTGTATAGTTTTTGAGTGACAGTCTCAGTTCCTGTTTTGTATTCATATCTGCATAGGCAAAGAAATTTGTTACCAAAAGCACAAAGATGAAGATAGGAAAAACAACTTTTTTTTTTTTACACAGCAGCTGTTGCTGTTTCAATCTGACATGGCCACTTGAGTCAATTTAATTTTAGTAGAGAATTGTTAACCTACACCAACCATAATAGTTGGACATGTTGATTCCCAGCACAAACCATAAAAGTTGGCCATACACAGAGAAATGGAGGTCATTAAGAAGAACCAGATTTTGATCAGCTTATTCATACACCTGCTCTGATGTTAGATAGGTTGGCACATATATTTTGAAACAAGATCGTATGAATAATCTGCACAAAAATCCATAGCATATATTTATTAGTACCTTTGGTCTTGATAAGTAATGCTGCTTACTGGAGCAACAACCACAGCGGTTCCTGTGCAAAATACTTCATCAGCATCGAGCAAATCCTCGAGAGAGACAAGCCGTTCCTCAACCTGATTAGAAAACAAAAAAAAGACCCGACAGAGTAAGAATAGGAAAAAAGATACAATTTTGTCAACATTTAGTTGTCGAATTAAGGGGATTTGACTCCTTATGGATGTGTAATTAGACCATTTAGTAGATGATGCATGTCGCTTACTCATTTTATTCATATTTTCCATGTACTCTAATGAAATGTTGTGTTGTCCATGTCTTTGTCGCATTCTGGCATCTAAATTACACCTTTTGGTACATCTTCTTACATTTAGCCATCTTTAAAGAAAACAGATGGTATCACAAGTTTTATGAATAGGAAATTCTGACCCGGAAGCCATAGTCAATAGCAATTTCGATGATGCTTTTACGTGTAACCCCCGGTAAAATGGTTCCCATTGTTGCTGGTGTTGAGATGACATCACCCTGCATGAGATGTTATTGTAAATACTCATATGTTAAGTGAATAACAGTTTGCCCTTTCTTTATTTTCCGGTATGAACAATTGAGAAAAGAGATGTTTTCTTTATGAGTAAAAAGAAAATTACTTGCTTGTCAGTGAAAGAAATTCTAAAAAAATGAACCATTTATAGAAAAAAGTTACTCTGTTGTTGCAACATATTACCAAGTAATTTATTGGCTATTAAGTTAAAAAAAAAAAGAGATGATTTCAAGCATGTTACATACTAAATAGAAAAGAAAGAAACAGTCTGCAAAAGTAGGTTAAATTCAGAAGCAACTGATGCATCAGGTTGTACAGGTAAAATATCTTTAGTTCACCTTCAGAATCCTGGTAAATTGGCTAGAACTGACTACATTGTGCTAATTAAAATTGGTACAAAGTTACGGTGATACGTCGATCACAAGTTTGCACAATCACAAGGCCATAGAAAAAATTGTTTTGCAGGATCATGATGTAAGTTTGTTTTCTTCAAATTAGTGTATTTGAGATCAATTTAAACAAGTGCAGGTCGAAAATGCAATATTACTTGCCCAAGCTGGCTATAGATGCACTTCAAAGCTAACAATTGCTGAATTCGAGAGTTGGTCTCATAAACAGACAAGGAAAGATCACAAAGGAGATTAATGTAATCAGAATATAATATCAAGGTGTTTTGCATATAAGATCCATTGAATATGTACCAATTAATAAATTAATAAATGAAGGTTCAAGCATACGTTCTTGATTCAATGAATTATTTCTTTTAGGTTTATCAACTACTAGAACTCCTTACTTTATCTCCAATTGAACTTGCATATTATCAAGACAAAACAAATGTTACTGAGGACATAGATTTGTTGATCACAAGATGAGTTATCACAATAAAGCAGCAACCTCGAGTCAAAAAATTCTGAGGCACAGGCACACCTTCACAATGAATAAATTGCATGAAGAAGCTTCCTCCAGATATTTTTTATTAATAGAATCAAGATATATAACATCTGTAAATCCTTTAGTCTTAGCTTCTGTCTGTGCCTTCAAAGCCTGAAAAATGAAGCAAGGATAAAAAACATTAATGTTGTCATCTAGCATTATAAACATCAAAGACAGGAGTTCAAATCTTGGAACTGATGGAAGATATTGTTCACATCTTTCCAGCAGAAACAATAATTCTTCAGGCCAAAACTGTTCCCTTAAGAGGATGAGATAACAACTATGTTCTTTATGTCTACAGGAATTACAAAATCAAAGGACCTGCCTTAAAGAATTGAAGGACAATTAACTATGGTAAACATTTTGTGGCTTCTCTAGATAGACTAATCTCATAGAGAAATAACTTCAAAAGCTTGATCAATTGTATGTGGATGGTTTTTGTCATGTCAATTGTCAACTTGTACTATAGAGCACTTATTAAGCGTACATAGCTCTAGATTGCAAACTTAAAGCATTGTTTATTGTTATAATCATGTCTCTTGTTTCAAACTGATTACTTCTGTAAAAAAGCTGAAACTTTTAATAACTTCTTTGGGAAGACTATCTCAAGGTACCAATTCTCATTTTTATTAGAATCAATATTTGATTCCTAGACAAGTTACTCCAAGTCTTATTGACATGCAAATTTATACACAGTACTTCTATGGTTCCAAACTAAATGCAATCATATAAATTTGACACTTCTAGAGTGGCTTATTACTTAGAAGAATGACATTGTTGAGCACAGTTAAACATCCTTCAAACTTTTAGGGTACTGGAGGATCATACTACTGAAAACATGGGGAAGTAAGTGGAGCATCTCACTCATTTAACAATTAAATATCTACCGAGGAAAATTCTAGATTTTTTGATATTTTTTTTGCCAATCTAAGACAAGTTTACATGATGGTAGGCACTAACACACTTACTTGGCACTGAAAATTGTACCAAGGCAACTCTTTTAGCATCGGAGCAGATACATAATAATTCAACTTCGGTAAGCAATCAACTATACTATAAGAGCTTTTGCTTCTCAGAATAATAATTCTTACTAATCGGGATTGCAACCTCATAATTGGCGAGAAGCTAAAATAAGGTGAGAAGCTATAAAATGTACCGGTGCATAATTGGAAATTGTCTTCACATCACCAGTTCCACCAGGAGTGGCACGATGAATCTTGTCATCTATAACTAGATTGATTGGAGCTAAACCCTCCTGCAAGTGAAGGATCAGATGTATAACACCCACAGAAGAGCGATGCAAGGTATACTTTAAATAAAATATTCCTCAGAAGTAAAAGCAGGTATAGTTAAGTGACCAACATAAGAAAGGACAGTCATTAAGCATCACTTACCTTAAAATATGTTCCCACTGGTGCAGCATAGATAAGAAACATGTAATCTGGTGCTGGAGCCAAACCAAGCACAGGTCCAATCCCTATTAGTAGTGGTCTGATATAGAGAGAACCTTTTCCCTGAGGAGGCACCTGTTTTCAGAACACACAGGCTAAGTCTCGTGAATTATTCAGAGTTCAATGAGCCCTGTTCTCATGATAGCTGAATCTCCAACTAAGTGCATACCCATCGTTTATTGGCCAATACCGTCTCTTTGACAGCATGAATGAATTGCACAACTGACAGAGATGGCATGCACATCCTCTCTGCACCCCTTTGCATTCGGCGTGCATTCTCTTCTGGCCGAAAGAGCAAGAAACCACTACCGTCTTGTTTCTGATATGCTTTCAGACCTTCAAATAGACCCTTAACAAGACAAATGATTTCACAATTTGCTGATAAATGTTTGAATAGGTTTTTATACGCAAGCATTGCCTGTTGAATATATTGGTAAAACTTAGGAAGTTTAGAAGGCTTTAAATTTAGATTGGTGAAATAGCCTGAAGATCCTTATAAGCTACACAATTAAGGAGGAGAATTACAGATCTAAGACTTAAGCAAAATTGCAAGAAAAACAATAATATTTAAGGCAGATATCTGCCAAATTCATGCAGAAGACCAAGTTGACCTTCTAACCTGCCCGTAGTTGAGGACCCCTGCCGACGGGCTCAATTCAATATTTCCATACCGATTGAGGACTCCGGATGAGAATTTGTCATCTCGAGAACATCTCATTACATACATATAGTCAGTTGGTACATGACCAAACCCAAGGTCATCCCAGTTAATATCAGCATTTTCTTCATTGCTCCTGAGAATCCCACAAGTCAAAGAGGTCACATCAATCTATAATTCAATGTGCTGCTGAAATTTCAAGTAAATGAACAACTTATAAATACAATATCCTACATCAAGAAAAATTACAAAAATCAGCAAAGTAAAATGTCCCTTCAGTTCATAATGCGGGAAGGTCCAGAAATCTCCCGCTCTCCCCACTCCCAAATGTCTTTCTTGCAAAGTCTCCATCAGTACCAAGGGATAGAAATTACAGAGTATGTTTCTCTTTCTTTGTGTGACAGAAACCATTAGAGAGACTCTTTACTGTATCTGGATGTGGGGGGATTTAATCGGACTTAGAAATGGAGGATATTTAAGTCTTGACTTTTCTCTTCAAAATAGATTTTTATTAACATACCATAAGGCAAAAACGTCTATGCGTGTTAAACTACATCGAAGCATCTGAGAAGAGCACATAGGAACAAGAATCATTAAGGACAAAGCGCACCATATATAGGAGTTGAGAATCGAAGGAATCCATTTTCTTTTTTATTTGGATTAACGATAATCAGAATCTGATGATAAACAGGATTCTCTGTGAGTAGGACTTGTGGTATAATGAACAGTTCAAAGGCTGCTGCGGCCCACCAACGCTTTAGAATAGACAAGTAGTTCCTTTTTCTCTTATGGCCAAGGAGGCCTCTGATGCACGACAAAAAGGAAATGGAAAATTGAAAGAAGGAGATCTACATGCCAAGAGAAGTTAGAAACCTCTAAACAAGCGAACATGCTGCTCCAATTAGATCGGAGCAACTGCAAGCATGATGAGAATAATTCAAATAGGAGGGACCTGAATGAGATTAAGTTCGGATAAGTATACCTAGCTGTGCCGACGCAGGGCTGGTGGAAAGAAGAAGCAGACCGCGACGCAATGCGGCGCCAGCTCGTAAGCTGCAACAACACCACCATAAAAGAGTATATCACACGGGCAAAACTAAATTACGAAGTCATCAAAATGACGAAAAAGAATCCCGTAGGCTGAAGGCAAACTGACCCTGTAAAGTATGTTCGTCGAAGCCGGAACGAGAACGCGCCTCGCTGACATAGCTTCTCCTGAATCTGAGACAACACACCACCGCAATCTTGGCCTGCCTAAGATTTAAGAAAGAGCAGGGAGGAAAGTTGAGTGTATTTGAGGAGGCCAGGGAGCATGTATCCGGAGGCGAACGGCCAAACAACGATAAGGAGAGCTGAGTCACAACCTACCTTACAAATGTTGTGGAGAAACATGTCCAGGAAATGAACATGCAAGCAGGAGGTGAATACATCACCTGCATGGATACGTTACAAGTATAGAACTCTATAATTAGAGACCAGGAGAGACAAAGCCGGAGAGATGGAAATAGTACACGTCAGAAATAGGTGGATGGATGCTAGAGAGAGAGAGAGAGAGAGAGAGAGAGAAGGAAAGGAGTGGTTGGTGACAAACCAACCTCTGCTTTGACAGCGGCCCTCTGGCGTTCCCCGGTTTCCTGTTCAACCCCGTCTGGTTGTCGAAGCACTTTCACCATCATCAATCGATTTCCATCGGTGACCATCAAAAGAGTTTGTTTTTTTGTTCTTTGTATTCCTCGAAGATTCACATAATCGGTATCCCAATAGTTGGGCCCAAAGTCACGCGCATCACTTCTGTCCATCGACACCGTCATCGGAGTACAGCTGCAGTGGGGACGAAGGTCCTGTGTAGTTGATATGCACGTTGGAGCGTCTCGTCTCATGCTTATCCTTTGAATGGACTCGCAGGAGCTTACCAACTCGACTCTCAGAGAACTGGAGTTAGGTGAGGGTGCAAGGCGGGTGGCGATAAATATTTTTGTCGGTGTCGACGAAGCCTCTCTCCTGACGGAAAAATCAAAGCCTTGGCAAGGCAAAGAAAGGTCCAAAAAAAAAAAAAGGCGGGGGAGAAATGGAAAATCGTACCTTGTTGCAGGGCCACAGTTTGCGTTGTGGACTTCAGCGGTAATCAAAGTGCCCGAGTCTTGTTGTAGGGCTACGCGTCCAAATCAGTCAAATAGAAGGCATTGTGAAGCAGGTAAGGACAGTCGACAGTAACTCCCTGTTTCATCCTTGCTAGTTTGCGTGTCGTCCCCGAGTTCTTGGCACGCTTTTTATCTGCAATCCAGATCTTGTCCTCCGTGCTTAGAGCTGCGGAGCCCGTTCCGTGGCCCTCCTTGCGTCATCCAGTTCCACATCCGTCTACAAGACAACCGAGTTGTGCTCCACGAGGTTCATGAAGCCTTTCTGTTCATTCACATATCCCAAAAATGATGTAAGACATTTTTACCTTGAAACAGAGACATTCCCGTCTTGGACGCCCGCCGAGACGGTTCCCATGATTTGGCCGAACAAAACTGAGATGATCAAACGGAAAGAATGGGCAGATAATAATGGAAGATGGGGAGGTGAGATCTGCTCGAGCAGCCAGCACAGTCATCACCGCTAAATCTGTATGGGAGAGAAGCCACGGATTATAAGATCCTATTGCTCGACTCGATCCACGAGTCAATACTGAATGCTTCGAGTTCACATCCTCAACTGTTGTATCTCTGACTAGTACAGCAGCAAGTGTCCTAAAAGAGGCGACTTTGAGCTGCAACATGAATGTATTGATTTAACGCAACAAATTGACCTGATGGGTGGGCATGTTCATCTTGAAAAGATGAGCTTCTGCTTTCGAGCATTCAACAGAACCATTGAGTTTGATGTTTCTCCCACATGCTTCGACCGCAGCCGCAAAAGGACAAGCTATAATGTTCAATATCCAGCCTCGATTATCATCACTGAAAAGCAAAAGACAGAAGACAAGACATTTATCTGTATGCATGCATCCTTTCTCATTGACTAAAGCAATTACTTGACCAATCCCATCAGATTCACAGACATATCTCGGAGATCTTAATCCAGAAGCTAACTATATTAAAGCTGCAAATCCATGATAAAATAAATAATAACTCGATACTGTTGATGAACAAAAAATTCAGGTGCCTTCTTCAGTAATTAAAGACGAGTAGCATCCCACTGGAACTGAAACAGGCCAAATATGTCCTGAATGCTCACATGTAACGAAAGACTTGACCAATTTTAACTCATCTCAAGAACCACTGCTGCTTCCAGTTCTTCTTACAACCGATTTATAGAAAACATTTTAGTGCATTCTTCAGAAATGCTCTCTGGTTCATATAGAGACCGATCTAGTTGTGCTTGACAATCTCATTTGTGTAGTCATCCCGATCAGCACTTCGTCGGCATGGATTCCAAACCTATGCTGTTCGGCACCAAAGTGCTTCTACTAAAAATGCACAAGTCTAAGCTCCTATTTCCAACTTTATTAAGAGAAAATTAGAAAGGTTTCAACACCATTGACACAATTCAGTTGGATGAAACACCTTATTCATTAACCTAATAACTATTAATGGTTAATCCAAGTTAATGATAGACTTTTGATAATGTGACTAAGTTGGCATTTACACAAACAGTTGAAAAGCACAAAGAATATTACTTTTCATCGGTTGCAATGATAAAAATCTGTACCTTTCATTCACTAGTCAATTAGCAACAATCTATTGGAGGTGCTCTTTCCCTAATCAAACTTTAGTTACTAACCACAATAAAACGAAAAGGAAAGTTTTTTTGTTTCCCCCCCTTTTCGGACGGGTTCTTGAATGTACGTAGCGAACGCAATCGAGAGACACCAATTCCAAACCCTCATACCGATGGAAATCAACCGAACAAGAAAAGCTGCGATCTTTGGCGATACACACGAAAGCAAAACGCAGGAACGGGGCATGGACGCGGGGATCATAGACGGGTACCTGGCCTCCGTTGACAAGCAGAGTATCGCCTTGAGCTTCTCCAGCGCGTCTCCTGCGTCGTCATCTCGACCAGCCCCCTGCAAAACCGCCTCGTCACCATATTCGCAGACGGCGTTCGTGCTTGAAACCCTGCGGTTGCAGCTCCTGTGCATTGGCCGAGTCACCAAACAAAGAAAGCTGCCGTACCAGTGGATGACATTAACTAGTGGCCCCGCGGCCAACCAATGGAAAGGCGCCTCTTGTGTTTGAGAAGAGGCGCCTCAGTTGAAACGTGGGCTTCGGACCCATTACAACACTATGGCCCACATAAAAATCTATGGGCCCATCACATCATTACACAGTTTTATGTCTAATTTGTGAGTGTCGGATTAGTGGGTGCGAGGCAGTGCGTAGTATTAAATTGTAGTTAAGCTTTGGTGATATGGATGAGTAGTGATCGATGAGTAATGATCAAAGGAAAGTAAGTGCAAGTTCTCGAGTCATCGATCGCGTTGATTAGTCAAAATGTTGACTCGGCTTCGGTCAAAGAAAGGCTTGGCATACTGTGTCGAGCAATCTTGGCCATGATTTCGGAAGAAGAGGCGACGACGGTGACTGGTTGTTCGCGAGTGGGCTACAAATCATTTTACGGCAAGTTGTTCTCTCTTTTTTCTTTTGACTATTAAGAATTATTTTGGGGCATTATTTTCCGTTTGCATGCAATCAAAGGCCCCAAAATTCTAATATGATCGCGACTAATGCTGTCGAATGCAACAGACGCCGTGATGTGTCCCTCCTATGTGATAGGTTGGATTCTTATTCAAGAGCAAGTGTGGTTTCCACCAAACACAGTGGTTGTTGGTTGGCACAATCTAAAAGTCGACTCGTCAACGTAATCACCTCCTCGATTCCTTATCTTTACTTCCTCTTCTTCTTCTTCTTCTTCTACTAATGTCCACCGGTGACCTTCAAATCCCACAGTCGTGCATTAAGTACATGGACCTCTGATTGTTATTGTTATCTTCTTCGATGTAGTATTGTTTTCGTGATATTATAATTGGCTTATCCAGTGGTGCAACGAGACTTATTTAATTCAAATATTTCTACATGCATTGCACATTTGAACACCTGTCCTACTCATACTATATCTTTCTCCGATTTGATGGATTCAACAACAACAATAATAATAAAGACTCAATTATTGTTTATGAGCTTTCTTTCGTGACATTGATTTATAAAACAGAAATATCATTGTTTTTCTTGTACATTGGAAATCCGAGTTGTTCGTACGAACTCGGTTGATTCCTATGATTTATTACGGAATCATCCGGTCTGCTTTCGTTCAGACTGATCGGTCCAATCTTTTTATATTGAAAGCCATCTTCTTATTACTATTATATAGATTTTATACCCGTAATTTTTTTCGATATAAATTCATTTCTTATTGTTTCTCGCGATCATTAGATGTATCATACCTACATGATTAGCATATCTTTTGAGGAGATAGACTTTGTCAAGGATTGATCATGTTAGGGAGTCTTGGGAAAATTGTTGCATCGAACTGCGAATTTGTCCCCGATCTAGTCTTCTCAGTTCTCGTTGTTGCGTCCCTAAAGCTAGCATGAATGAGTAGTGGCAATCTTGACAGTGAAAACATATCGGCACAGCGAGATGAGGTAAGGTGGAACGTAGCCGGAAACTACATTGATCAGACAAACAGTGACATGATAAGGTATTGACCGAGTGGCACGTTGGATGGTTCCATTTCCATTGTGACTGACTGAGCCACTTGAGAAAGCAAAGGATTGGTGGTGGGTTTGCGTTGCTTGGCATAGAGAGACATCCTTCAAGAACAAGCCAACGAGTTGTCACTGTTGCCCAAACCCAGTCTACAAGTTATTGCCAACTGCTCCTCATGCATACTAGTCCTCGATTTGGGATAAATTAAACTTAGTTGGTTGGTATATGCAAACACTGTGTCCCTTTTTCCTTGATTTACCTTTGCATAACACTTGACATATCTTGAATCAACCATGTATACGTTGTTATGCATGTATATTGCGATAGCACAAGCTAAACAAACCTAAGGGAAAATAAGAATCATCAAAAGCTAGACTTCACAAAATTGAAGATCGAAAAAACAAATCATGAAAAGAGATAAAAATAAGAAGCATAAAGAAAGGAAGTTGATACCGATCACCCACTATCAGTTAGAATATGCCAAAGAAATTAAGGAGCATTAGACAGATAATGGATAAGCTTCAAAACCTCTCCAAATGGTTTCGAGTTATGTCCCCTTTTAAGGACTATGATCTAAGGGAATATTGGGATGAACCGGAAATCTCCAGCTTTATCGAGTGCAGGAAGCTGATATCATCATCGTCATGCAGGATGTGTACTTGATGTGAAGACCATATCTCGCTACAAAATTATTGTCGATACCATATTCTCATTCTCCTCGCGGGATAAATGCTTTTATGCCGACGGCTCTCTTTGCACTTTCCTTCAGACTCTTTGTTACACTCTTCTCTTGTTTGTATGTTGATTCTTCTATTATAGTTTTGGCTGGATTGATCGAAATCCATATTTTTCTTTTTCTTTAAGAAAATAGAAGTGGAGGACGCAAGAAATTGATGTATAAACCATATAGTTTGCCTGAAACCATATTTTGGAACGTGGAAAACAACACCAAATTGCAATTTAGTTCCTTGGGAATAATGGATGCGATTCGAGTTGATGATAAATATGTTGACTAGGTTGGGCAAGTTGGGTGTTTTGAGAGGTGCACAGGAGAACCGGGTGAGGTAAAGAGGGTCCACCAAAGATATGGGGATTATTTGGTGATGGCGATCGCAGTGGATTCGGATCCCATCACAGGAATTAGATTGGAATGTGTGTGTGTGTGTGTGGTGTTAATTAACAATGGGCAGTGAGAATCGTGACAGATTGGTTGGGGATTGACCAATAACAGCGGCATACTGATGATGTCGTAGTTGATGGATGATATGAGATAGAGATCGGACGTCATTGTTGGATTCTGATTAATGGACAGGTGGGTGAGTACAGTGATCGGAGAAACATCAGATATTTCCAATCAGACTTATCCATCTCGGGCAGTGCGTAAGCAGAAGGCATTCTACATTCAAACACCTCGGAAGTTGAGTCATTACCTGTTGTGCAAGTAAATTGGGAGAGGCAAAAGATTAGGGGTGCAATCATTGGAGAGCTCGTTCCAGACAGATAGGAATGGAATGACCGGTTCAACCCTTCCGAGACAAGGGAGTTAACTCGGTCTACACGCATGTAGACTCTCTAGAACAAAGAAGAGGGTGAGGGGTGAGGATTTCCTTGCAACCCACGTACAAGTAAGCCAATAGAAAACGGATGTGATTGGAGGGGTCAAATCCGAGTCCAATAATAATAATTTGAATTATGTATCCCAGAAAGTGTTGTTCATGAGATTATAATGGATGGAAGCCTCGATTTAATCCAGCTGACGGTCGAATCAATCGGATCCAGAGATGCTAATGGACGCATTGATGTCACGGAGAAGCCGCCGCCCCACGAGGAGTTGGCCACCGCCAGATCAGGTGGGCCTGCGTCATCTCCTTCGTCGGTGGCTCGGTGATGCAACCAAAGGATGTATTAGCATTGTAAAGCTCGTCGTCAGCCAAGGATTGGGATTGGCTCTGACTGCGTAGCGTACAATATTGCCGATCCCCGTTTGGCCCACATGAGATCAATCCAGTGGCAGGAGGGGCACAGCCCTCTCCATGAAGTGTCATCGGTGGTGCATGCTGGACACGTCCCATGCACGTCGGTGATAGCAGCTTTATCCATCAGAACGCAAGTTGGGGTGTGAGAGAGTGGGGATGCATGCGCCCGATGTTCCCAAGCCCTCCACCGGCATATTATTATGCGATTTGTTTTGATTGAGGAGCACCTTCGCTTTCCTTGTGGTTGATTAAACCATTATTCTCTGACATGTCACTGTATATGCTCACCTTCGAGTCAATGCTCATCTGAGCTACCGTGCCCACTTGAAGTGATCAACATCAAGCAGTGATCAAAGAGTACTGTCATATATGGATATACACATGACACTAATTATTTACATGTCTTATCATACTCTCTCTCTCTCTCTCTCTATGTATATATTCCATGCTTATTATTCACAGATCCCGGCGCATATCGCTGCAATACGATGGATAACGAGCACCTCCAACAAAAGAAGCATATATTTATGGATCACAAGTGGTTGGTAGGTAGCAATTATTGATGGTCATTTGTGACGACCATTTAAGTGAAAAGGCCAGGCTCAACATCAGCCTCCTAGATTAGGGAAACTGTCCATTCTCTGTCTTCATCTTTGGGAAACCCCATGGCCTCCCATTCGGTGTTTCAGATCTCGGACATAGCTAGCCCACACCTGCTTCTTTTCTCCTTGTGAGCAAGACAAGGAGGGGATGGTGCAATTAACGCTTTGATCATTAGCTCAGCTGTCCATCTCACCGCCACCGTCACAGGCCGAAGGAGGAGCAGACAGGCGGAGGGCGGAAGCTACATGAGCCCCATATCTACCAGAGTGTAACAAGGCAACCACTCCATGTTGGGAGCCAACATCTCATGTGTGGTCTTCAAGGAGGCCGGACCCCCAAGACGAGGTGTTCCAATCACGGAATCCACGCTCTTTTGCAGTTCTATGATTCGCTCAACGACTAAGATTACGTAACACATTATACGTTGTAGATAGGAATTAAGGGTGACGTACGATGCATGGAATCACCCGGTATCCATATGCTTCGATGCGAGTAAAAGAAAAAAAAACGAGTGCATGAGTCGGAGTTAAGATGAACCGATAGTGAATCCAGTCGGTATCATGGCATGAAGTTCCAGATGGTAGAGAGGCGTATATAATGGCATGACGCGTCGAGCATGGATTTCAGTATAAAATCCGAGCTGCACAAGAGGGAGGTAAAAGCAGAGGAAAAAGAAAGGAAGGGGGTTGGGTTCCGGATGAGGAAAGTAGGAAAAGAAAAAGGAGGGAGGAGGAGGAGGTACCACACGTAGTTAATGAGATCCCAAGTAGGGAGAGAGAGTGGGGAGGCAACATCACACACTTGATGCTTTGTTATAATAATTTGGTGTACCTCGATGCACCCTTTTCCCATGTGAATCCACGCAGTCATCTCCCCCACACCTTCCCGTCCTAAAGAGCTAGCTGGTCTTTGCTCCTCCTTTATTCTCTAGTACTAGGGAGGTAGGTTGCCTCCTTCGTCAACCTTTGTAGTTTGTGTATACATCTTTGTGGGAGAGAGCTATTTTTCCATATCCCATAGGCCCCTCTCGTTTGCCTTCCCCATCGCCAATTCATTTCCCTCACAAATCCTAGTTCCTCGACATCCATCCTTCGCCCTAGCCTCTCTCTTTCTCCGAGGCAAATATATATAGAGTAGCGAGTTGGAGAGTCAAGAAAGTAAGCGAAGCATGGACATGAGCCCGGAGATCGATGCGTGCGACACCGGTCTTGCTCTTGGGTTGGGCATCGGCCGAAGGAGCACCCCGTCGTCGGCCAATTCCCGTCGCCTGCAGGAAGCCTGCTCACCTCTCAGGAGCTCCATGCCACAGAAGCAGCCATCGCTCACGTTAAGCCTCTCCGATGACGTCGACGGGAGCGCAACCTTGCTCAGGGCTGAAGCGAACAAGCCGTCGGAGGAGGGCCGTCAGGCGCGGCCGTCGTCTCCCCACAGCACGGTCTCATCCTTTTCCGCTGCCTACGGTCCGACGATTAAGAAGGAGAAAGACGTCACGGAAGCCGACGAGGAAGCAGAGGTGGAGAGAGTCGATTCTCGCGGCGGTACCTGCGACGACGATAACGATGGCAGTGCAAGGAAGAAGCTTAGGCTCACGAAGGAGCAGTCGGCCCTGTTGGAAGACCGGTTCAAGGAGCACAGTACGCTCAATCCTGTTAGTATTTACCATATACGTTTGGTCAATTTAGAATCTCTGTCTCTCTCCCCTGATTATTTACTCAGTCTTATTTTGATGATCAGAAACAAAAGCATGCATTGGCCAAACAATTGAATCTCCGGCCACGGCAAGTGGAAGTCTGGTTCCAAAATAGGAGAGCACGGTTGGTCCCTAATTTCTTCTCCAACTCTCCATGAAGTTCCAATCGTGCATGTCTAAAGACACACGCATACATATGTAGCGAGATGGAAATTGTTCTTTTGTTCCGTGAAAAATCTTGGTTTATGGTAGTTATGAGCGCACGTAATAGTGTTGATTCATGGTGTCTGCCGATGGTGTGATGGCAGGACCAAGCTCAAGCAGACCGAAGTTGACTGCGAGTTTCTGAAGAGGTGCTGCGAGTCGCTGACCGACGAGAACCGGAGGCTGCAGAAGGAGCTGCAGGAGCTGAAGGCCCTCAAATTTGCGCCGTCCGTCTACATGCAGTTTCCGGCGGCCGGCCTCACCATGTGCCCTTCCTGCAAGACGATCGGAGCCGCCGCCGACGTCGGCCCTAAAGGCGGCAGAGCCGAGTCCTTTGTGGTGGCGCCACCGAAGCCTCACTTCTTTAATCCTTTCATCCACTCAGCAAAATGTTAGCCAGCAGTGACTATGACCCCTCTCTCTCTCTCTCTCTAGACCTTGGGAGTTACACTTGATACGTGCTTCACTTCTTGGCAATTCTCGCCGGTTACCTGGTTTTGGTTGAGCAAGCAATTGCGCTTTCTAAATAAGAAAGAAACAAAGAAAAACTCCCTCGTAATTTCCTTCTACTGTAAAGCACTATAGGTAGACTAGTTAACCCATGTCCCTTGATCGTCATATGTTCCTCGGTCTTAATCATTGTATAGAAGACATGATTCTCATTTGCTTTCTATGATCCAATCGTGGCTCAACTATATATGGTGTTGTTTGTTTACTCGTGTCATACATGTTGGAATTAGCGAACAACCGTGTGACTCCCTCCATCTACCTTCCCTCTTATGCTCACGGAAGGAGCAGCCTTAATGCTATTATCGCAGGTCATGTTGCCTGGTTAGGGGAAGACACAGGAAGACACGGACTTTTCGTGGAGGAACACGGTGCGATCGATCTCCTGGCTTTGTGTGGGACAATGTGGAAGGGACCCGATCGAGATGGTGCACGTGATTGTGGCTGTTGAATGGTAGGAAAGATGTGAAGGCAAAGGAAGGAGAGGAAAGCGTGTGGGGAAAGGAAGGAATGATTGATCGATAGATGGAAAGATCACCCATCCATTACACGTAGGCGGCCTCGCGGACCTATGAACGGAGAACTAGTTGGTGGGTCATATCCACGTGAAGCTCGGCCCCACCCATCTCCTGTAGGCCCCACGAAACACGATCCGGTCTCGATACGAATTTGGAATTCAGGAGACGGAGTCATTTATTTTTGTCTCTTCGTCGAAGGCGTCGCGTGATCACAATTATCTTATCCGATGCTTTGCCTTTTTCTATGGCGGTGACAAATCCCTACTTGATTGGAAGAGGATAGTCACGTCAACTTGTGACATTAGGGTCAGCTTTTGGCTAATGTAACAATATAGAAGCTTTCTTTGAAGATTACAAGTACATCTGTGGGCAGAATAAATAAATAATTGTATATGTATACACACAAGCAACGCGAGGAAATCTTCTAGTTATAATTACATATGACACTAATCAGAGTATGTGACGTTTGAGATACGACTTACTCCCTATCATCGAGGCTTAATGGAAGGGATACCCAATCTGCAAAACTAGAATCGAAATATTTCCCAAGAGTACAGGACGAAGGTAGCAATAATTTGTAGAGGAAATATATATATTTGTAGACGAGGAGCAGCGGTGCAAGGACAGGTTATCGCAAAGTAACGTTGTTACTCTTCGTCGTTTGCCGCAACAGGTTGCACGAATGCGTCATCTTTGTTTCTGTTTACAGTGAATATGCCTTGATGCAGCTTCCATTATTAGAGCTCGGACAGCCTGGTTCATGAACCGTTTGAGGAACTACGAGGGGACAAGAGTTTGGGAATCAGGATGCTTGTCGTCTATATCATTGGGCATTCTTGAAGGAGGGCCGAAGGAGCTGGATGATCCCAATTGGGTGTACGGTATTAAAGATATGAGAGCTGTGTGAGAAGGATGGTGATTTGACATTTCGATTGGCATGTTTTATGGGGGAGAAAGAAAGAGGAGACGTGAGGGAGGAAGATACACGAAGGCGAGTGACTAATCGGGGAGATGCATCAACTCCATATTGGTCCTTAACCAATAAAGGCGAAGGCTTTATCGTGTTCTATCGACGTTCGACATTGAAGAAAGAGCATCATAACTCAAGAAGATAATTCAACCAAAGCAGCAGAACTCGGCAATGCGATGCCTGTAGTAAAATAAGCCCGAGGCGAGGTCTTCTCGACGATCTGCTATGCTATCGAATTAGATCGAGCCTGGTCGAATAATAGGTGATGAGTGGGAGATAGGAACGATCCACATCCAAAATGATACGGGCTGAGCGATTAGTTTCGTTATGGGCGTCGGTGATGGTCGGACTAGTTCTGGTTCGCTGATCAACACCACATATTGTCCACTCGGCTAAACTTTGGATCTGATCGACTCCCTTTCTGTGATCTTTTGCTACAATGAACGGGCCATGTTCTTGCGCACGATGATGAATCCTATGTATAAAGTGACAAAGTGAGGGATAGCGAAATGAACTATAGGTGTCCTGAGGACTCTTGCAGTCTACAGTGGAATGAAAGTTGATGGGTAGCATCAGAATATATAATTATTTGTGGTCCAAGACTTGCTGGGGATTAAAGAGAGTTAAGTCGGTAATGTAACATATAATCTGTAAAAAGTTAATTCTCACAAGACATTTATGTTGAGATTAGTGAATCGAATTAACATAAGTTAAACTGCGTACCAAATTCACAGTGCAGAGGGAAAGGGGCTTTGATCGGCATGCATGTCCAATGTATTAATTACGAGTCAAATATGAGTCTCTATAGGTTAATGCTCAAAGCCCCACTAGCTTCTTTCCTTCTCCGGCAATACACCCACTGTTTCCCTTGGTTTCTGGAGCTTATTCATGCTTGGAGCGCAGACTTGGCGTGCATTAATAACCAAGGATAGAGTGGTCACCCATGAAAGCTTTTCACTTCATCTGATAACGAAGTCATGGGTAACCTTTAACACCGCAGGCCACGGCACTGTGGGTTGGAATCATATATATGATGTGAAACAGGCCGATGGCTTTGTTCGTTACTGCGTAGGTTGAAATTACATGAAGACAGAAACAAGTACGTAAACAGGCAGAGACGAGCATTACACCTTGCACTGTGACCACAAAATGGAACAAGCAACTCGAACTTATTGTATCATGGACGCCTTCCTCAGCTGAAGGACGCGTGCACGCTCCTATCCCATGGATTCATGCATGCATGCAGTGGCTCAGATCCCGGCCCAGCACTCCGGCGGGGGGACCGGGTACCGGGACTTGTCGGTGCAGTAGTCGTAGATCATGTGGTTGGTCCGCACCCACCGGTACAGCCTCGCCTGCTCCGGGCTGAGCTGCCGGTAAGCCGGCCCCTCCCACCAGTTGTTGGGGTTGGAGGCGCAGTTGGCCGGGCCGGGGACGGCGCATCCCTCGATGTCGAAGTCCTTGTAGTAGGCGTAGAAGGGGGCCTTGCCCCAGTCGATCTTCTCCAGTCCACCTCGCGTCGCCCAGTCGTCGGCCTCCCACAGAGTGGAGTACACCCCCATGGGTTGCAGCGTGGGGTAGGGGATACCTCTACGCTCGTTGTTCTTGAACACCCTGACCGGCACGTTATCCACGGAGAAGCTGTACAACCCAGCCATTATCAATGATTGATATCACGAAAAGCAACTGATGATGTTAAGAAAGATGTGACTTTACACTGGTGAATGGGGATCCTGCATTTTATTTATTACTCACGAGCTAGCACTATCGACTGTAACCATTAATTTAAGTCGGGATGCAGCAGAATAGAAGACTCAGGTCAGATCGTCCACACGCTATGATACAGCATGTTCTTCAGTAATAAGCTTTGGCATAGTTTGCACATACATGTAAGCTGTCTGGTGTTGGGAAATTTAATGGGTCGGTCTTATCTTAGTAACGTCGGAGAATATGCTCACGGCTGCAGAGTGATCGACCGAATCGGTTCCCTTTGGAGCGGAATAGGAGCCTTCTTGATTTCTATTACCGGGTGTTTTGATTCGATTACTGGAGCGAGGACATGGAATCTTTGAGAAGGCTACTCTATATCTTCTGTTGGGTCCCTTTGTTCGGATACTGAAAATAATGACACAAAGTTTGGGGAGTGGGAAGAGTAGAGGTAGCTTACACGACATGGTAATGGTTCCAGAGGATGGTATAAGTGTGATAGTCTGCAGCAGGGTCGAACCAAAGGTTAACTCTCTGCTCACGATCACCCTTGCCATGAGCATACACGTTGGTCTGCACCGTGTATGGCTGCCCGCTCCTGTTCCCCAGGAACTCGAAGTCCAACTCGTCGCGGACGGTGTCGGTGTCCGAGTTCAGCTGCAAGCACCAACAATCACAAAACCAAAACTTATACCGGCGGTAGCATGAGCGAACGAACCTATGGGGATCGAGTAGGAGCTACGTACATAGAAGGCGGTAACAGTTCCGGCGGAGTCGCCAGGGATGAGCTTAATCTTCATGCTAACGCGCCCGTAGTGGTACTGCTTGTTGGAGGCAAACCCACAACCTGCATGCCATGCGAAGCATTACAACCCTCCTCCACTAAACGAGGCAGCAGGTAATGAATGTTCACAGTCAATAAATGCCATGCCGTGATAAGAACTAATTAGCCATCAGAAATCGATCCGGGATCACCTGAGGACGGGTCCAGCTTCAGTTGAATTGCGGTGCCTCCTTGCAGCTGCTTGATGTGAGTGTCAGCCCAGGTGATGCGGAAATCCTGGAGGAAAGTAGCCGGCCGTGCGCCGACTAATGCGACGAGCACGAGGAAGGGGAAGATAACGGATAGGACAGCGGTGTGAACCATCGTCTTCCACTGCTATCAGTGGTAGCAGAAGCAATGATGGGAAGACTGAGAAGTGAGCTTGTTGCGGAAAGAGAGAGGCGAAGGAGGGGGTTTTATAGAGGAGAAGGGAGGAAGAACGAGACCCGGATTGCTTCATAGAAATGGAACGACCCCACGACAGCCTTGGCTTCCAGCTAAGAGCAAGCCGTCCCGGCCCCTCAAAATTTACTCTCTTCTGATGGTAATGGGCATGCCGGACCCGGTGGCTCGGGCGCCGCGGTGAGCCACGGGGAGGAGGGGCCTCACCACCCGCGGGCTCCGCGGCTGCCATCCGATAGGAGGAGGTCCGCCGATGGATGGTGGGGTGGGACAGTAGTTCACGTGGCGTTCCATGTCAGCAGGATAGCGGGCGGTGCAATGACAAAAAGGTTTGCCTGATCTATTCCATTTTCACCTTGCACTCCCAATAATTCTGCGACACGTCCAATCAGGGGACCCTCTGCCGACGTTTTCCGATCGCTGTTGTTTTCTTGCGGGGGTGACGTGGCGACACATTAATGGTCAATGGCGCACGGCGGATGGGAAATCACAGCGGTGCTTAACCGGGGGGCGTGGGGCCATGACAGGCTCTTTTCGTCTCTGAGATTAATGGTGTTTGTTCTTGAATCAGGTGAAGTTTTGGGCAACAATGTTCATTTTTATTTGTTCGTGATACTTCTGCTCGTGACCTCCACCAGCCAACCTAACGTGGACTTCCATAAGAAAATTTACTCGACATGTAATATGATTTTTATTGTAGTTTATAGATACAGATTGACAGTAAAACATAATAAAAGAAAATTCTGGTTGAATTTATATCTTGCCTCATCAGGTTTGTGTGGGAACTCGAGA